TTTCATTCCGGCACATACTCTTACTGAAGACAATGAGATTATGAGGAGGATTAGCTTATTGTTAGTCTGGCCAAAGTTTGCCTTTGTAAAGTCCAAAACATGACCTAATATAAAGTGGTTGAAATCTTGTGGGAAAGATTGTAAGAGGATAATTATTTTAAAAGCCATGACTTTGACACCAGGAAATTAAATTCATATCTATATGTCTTTATCTATACACAGCAAATCCAATAATCTTGAGCTCTCTACAGTCACTTAGCCAGCTGGCAAAGGGAGCAAAGTAAAAACTAACAAATCCCATTCCTAAGGTATGCTGACATCAGTGATTCATGATTCATCAATAATGGTGCTAGGAAATAAATGTAACAGGGCATTATTGCCTTTTGCAGCACGGTAAACTCAAGGGAAAATGTCTAAGTGTATCACATTGAAAGGACAGAGCTAGCAAAGAAATAACTTTTACAAGTATTTAAGAGGTGTTACAAGCAAGTGAAAGTAGAGAAACAAATGTAAACCTTTTAAAAACAGCAAGAACACCTATAAATAAAAGAGACAGTTTTCCAGCTACAAGCTTAAGAGGACTACACATGAAAATAGCATTTTTTTGTTCTTCAGCATTTTTACAAGGAGAATGAATTTAAATTGCTTGTTCCAGAATAAACCCTTGAAACAACTATTCTGGTTTAATGGTCTACCAGGATAAGCACAATAAGTTGGTTCTACGCTGTGCTAAATTACTAATGTTGTTGACAGTAATTATGATCCTCACAACTTATCTAAATCACTAAAAGGGCAAATACATAAACACAAAGTATCATATATACATTTTAGAAAATTACTGTATTAGCAAATAATTGACGATCTCTTTTGAAGGTGATTGGACCATCGTTGTAAAACCCTAAGATTATTAACTGAAGAAAGATGGGTAGCTATCCCTACAACAGCAGATACACCTCCCACTTTCGCTACACAGAACAAGAAGATATAGTACATCATTAAACAACTGAGGCTTTATAATTTTGTAGCTTTATACTATTTATGATAGAGTTTAGCCTATATTTCTAATCTTTTTTAGAACCTACTCAATTAAAATTCAGATTACTTGTTTATGCTATTAAAGGACGACTGCACAATATTAATAATGCACCATGTAACATGCTGCTCCAAACATTGCCTTTCTTTCAGGGGCAACAGCCACACAGTTCTGATACAAGCTTTGTTGCTTAGCTAGAGGGTAAGTGACTTTGGTGGTTGTTGAAGCATTTTACCAAAGAAAATGTTGTTCTCCTGACATAAGGCTTGCTTCAAACCATTGCTGCTTAACTGCAAAGAACCACAAATACATCTAGTAGCTGTTTTGCCTGGACTGACATCGCAAATTTTATTTTAAAGATTGAGTTTTCAAACATTTGGTATAATTCTTAATAAACAATTAATTGATTGACAAGATTTGCAAATGTATATTTCACTGTACTGAGTTTTCTTTACACGCTTTATAAAGGTTTTTATGAAGTTTGAACATAGATTTCCCTAAAAAATACAGGCAAAAGAGAATGTAAGAAAAGACACTATATGAGGATAAAGAATATGGAAGGTAAGATAAATCTATCCTCACACAAATGGATTTAATAGTGTCGTACTAGGTACATACATAATGGATGGATTTAAGAACCTCAGTGATGTCAGTGAAGAACAACAGGTATCTTTACTGTAAATATAATTCATGATTCATAATCAGAACTTTCTAGAAAATTACAGACAATGGAGAGCATACCACATCATGGTAGAAAAATAAATGCTGGTTTGATCCATTATAGGTAGCACTGCTAAAAATTGACTTGTTTTTCTTCTTTCTCTGCATTATTCACAAGCATAGGCCCTTGACTCTGCAAACATAATGTGCACTTAGCTTTCAAATCAACCAGCTTACTCATGGTAGTAAAACTGAATTAGTGCAAATACAATACTAGTGTAGTGAAGGCCATTTCTTCTTATTTCTTTCTGACCAGCTCGATAGACAAATAATGATTGACCTATATTCAGGGCAAGGTCAGCATTAAATTCAAGAAATATGTTTAGTGACTACATGACACGTGATGCAAAGAAGAAGCTCAGACAACAGTATTTGTTCAGACTTCAGAAGACAAGTCAAGGGAGAGTCATTGCTTTCTACAGCTACCTAATGGGAGGTCACGGGGGTTTAGAGAGGAGATGAAGCTAAACTATTATTTGAAATGCACAGTGGTAAGTGTATATGAGAGGCAAAAGTTACAAGCTACGACAAGAGAAACTGCAACTAGATACTGGAAGAAAGTTTTCAAAAATAGGGTTGTCATGACACTTAGTATACCTAGACTATCTATTCTAGTGTCTACCATGGCAGACATTAGAATGGGGGCCCAGGGAGGTGTGTAGTCTTTGTCCTTGGAGATACTCAAAATTCGTCTGAACAAGGCCCTGAGTAACCTTCTCTAAGTTGGACTCGCTCTGAGGGGGGAGCTGAACCAGATGACCTCCAGAGGTCTCTTCCAAACAAAATTATTCAATGAACTTACTTTTTTAAAATTCTTTACTTTTTATTATTTTAGCCAGCTTTATTTCTCTCTAAGCATTCCCAGTTTATAAAAGGGTAGGCAGCTTTCTTAGGAAAGACGTCTTTGCTTCCTAAATTTTCTTAAAACAAGCACACTTCCAAGTACACCATGGCAAATGAGCTATAAAAATCCAAACTACACGTGGACCGCTTACCTGTGCTTATACCAAACTGAAGTGTGTCTGTTACTGCTAAATTTTCCAAGATGTATGAACAAAAAACCTTATCAAAGAGATGGTTGATATTCATGACTACTTCTGAGGACACTGAGTATTGAGAAGCTTCATATGAATTCAGCCTGCTTGCAGCTGGGCATAGCTATCTAATAGTGGAAATAAGTACTAGAGCTACTCATAGTGGAGGACTACTCAAAAATGAAGGCAGGGAAAGTGTTCTTTTCTTCGGATGTAGTGGAAGAATTAACACTGCCCTCACATGCAGGCATGTCCCTGTGGCACAAATGCCTCCGCAGTCCTCTGGAGTAGCCCAGGAGCTGTGTTTTTGATCATGACCAGCTGCTGGGAAGAGTGATCTAGTGCTCGGTGTGTGTGTATGAGATGAGAGGGCTGTAAAGCGGCAGTCATGCCAACTCTATGCTTCAGAGGTCCTAAGTCACAAGGGAAATTGCTGAAGCTGAATCAGAGAAAATGCATCAGCATCTCTCATGGGAAAGGAAAGCTGGAAAACACATTATACTCAACTGAGAAGCACGGTATGCTACGTTAAAAAACTAGACTGAAAGTAAGTTGTAGAATTTTTCAGAAATAAAGTTTTTGGCTTTGAGAACATGTTAATGTAACCTGTTGTGACATAAGGTTTAATCCTTGAGCTAATGAGTTCTTGAGTAAGTTTTTCAAGCAATCGCATAACAAAAATGCATATAGGTAAAATGTGTTTACCGTAACAGAATGTTATGCCATTTCCTGTATATCCTTGGGAGCAATAGCAGCCTGTTGTCCCACCCTGAACTTCACACCTGGCATCTTTGTGGCATGTCATGTTGCAGCTTGCAGAAGTGTAGCCATAGTCCAGCAGACTGGAAATCAGAACTGGAACAAAGAAAAATCAGACTCATTTCTTTATCTAAAAACTTCACTCTGAGCTCTAAAACCTGATCTGGGCAAAAGGTATCCACAAAATTGGTATATTCCAGTAAACTTATCACAGACTCAGTATATCACAGGATGGGGCAAGGGCCACCAACTACAGGGACTTCTTTGGTAAAACTACCCAAGGGCTGGAAACAGCAGACACTGTAGATTAAGAGAGTGGGTATGTGCTCAACCAGTATAAAATTGGTAAACAACATCGAAGTTATTCAGTGATCTGGGGAAAACATTTGAAAACCTTTCAAAGCTCTCTAGTACTTTCCAGTAAAGCACAGACATTTATTTGTACTCTGAATTATGTATTGAGTGTAATCCAAGCTGCCCTACACATATCAAGTGAAAATACCAGAGTTCCCCTGATTGGAATTTCTACTTTTATAAGCACTTCCATACTTGTGTAGCTAACACATATGCATGGTCTGGGAGATTAAAATGACATGTCATAGGATTTACAGCATTATGACATTAGGGTTTAAAAACTTATCTAAACTATTTAAAGTTTATCTCTTAAAATACCGTTTCCAGAAGTTTTGTCTTCTTTTTTTCCATCCATAGGATGGGTATATCTACTTTCCCATTGTATGAATACATATAGTTTTCAACACAAAGAAAAAAGGAATCTCTCCCTTTAAGGAAACTGTTATAATCATACACACCCTGTAATAGGTTAAAAATGAGGCAGTTAACTCAGAAGAGAAAGTAAGTTTTTTAATTTGTACTTCACAAATTGTTAGTAGGACACAATGAAAGCTGCAGAACACAAAGACCCTTTTGGATGCAGTCTTGTTTTTCCCTACCCAAATATTATTCGGGATATATGCTAGCCTAGTGTTACAATTACAGGTTTCAGTGCTTCAGGAAATCTCACCGAGGCATTGTTTTCTTGGATGAATTAAAATTTCATGAAAAATTCAAAAGACTAAAAATTACACTTTTTTTTTTTTTTTACAATTATATATAACCCAAATTGGTTTAGTTATCACCAAGTTTCATCTTTTCCCTCTATTTTTGAGAGAGACCATTTTCCAGAGATTAAAACAGAAACCTGTGGGATTCTGTTGACATTTTACTGTTCATAACATGTGAAATCTAAAAATCTCCCAAGCAGACGGAGAGGGGGAAAAGGAAAAATAAACATACCACAAGCCCACAGAACCCCACAATGTTTCTGGTTTTTTTACAGAACAAAACCTACAGTGAGATAAAGACTGGTATTTGTGGGATTTGGTTTTGGAATGATCCTAACCATGCAATTACCGAATCTGGTAGCAGTCCTGATCAAAGCTAAGGGGACTTTGAGTCCCATGTACCCAGCAGCTTTCCACAATCTCCAACACATCCTTTCTCCTTGCCAGACCCCACTCCCTTCCCACCTACCACTTGCTCCCCAGTGAAGGAGATTTCACCTACCTAGGAATGGAAGCAGTTTCATTGGTGATGCTGTTGCTGTACAGTGCCTGGTTCAGAGCCCCTGTGTCACAGAAAAAACCTCCCTGCCTTAAAATGTATGAACATGTGCAAAATATGTACACATGCCTATCAGGAAAGCGACGTGCTGTTGCAGGCGCAGCCCTGACGCTGCCCTTTGTCTCAAGCTTCACGTTTCCAAAAGCTCCTGCGACTTACAGGCAGGACAGGAAGGGTCAGGAGGGGCTTAGGACCAAGTCTTCTGGCAAGTAGGGAAAAAATTGAGAAGGGAATAAATGAGAAAGTAAAAGAGAAGCAGAAGCCTGGGTCTTGCAAGGGCTATCAGAGAAGATTCAGGGCTGAGTGGGTTAGAGGAGCATGTGCCCAGGACAGTGCCTGGGGCAGAGGGAGGATGAAGCTGGAAGGGGTGAGCTGAAGCCTGCTGGCAGAAGGAGTAAGGGAGTAGCAGAAGAATGGTGGAGCAGATCAGGAAGGGTGAGGAAGAGGTGGAGGAGATTAGTAACTAGCTCAGGGTTTACAAACTTGGAGTTAACGGTCTACAAGCTTCCTTCCACCTTTTCCTGGTGAGCTGAATATATGTGAGCCCCAAGACCCTTTTTTTTTGTTGTTTTTTTCAAGACAGTCTTGGCTGACTGCAATTGTTCTTCCTACTGCTTTTTTAGGTTTTGAGATAGGTCCTTACTGCAGCCAAGCTATGTTGCTTTAAGGGTAATGGCCTTAAGGAGGGCGGTACAGGAAATCTACTGAACTCTGCTTTGTGAGGAAACAAAGACGTATAGGCAGGGAGGAAAGAGGCAGGAAGGCAATTGTATGGCCAGGAATCTCAGGAGCTGATGAAGCCAAAGTTTCTAGGAGTTTGTGGGACTGACACAGGGCATTGTGTAATAGGACATATTCAAGATAGCCAATTCGGTAAAGCATTTGGCATGTCTTGTGTTAAACGTGAGAGCAGTTCTATCCTCATTATAGCATCCCAATCGACGAGACTTAAGCATGCACTTACATTATGCATGGACACGGCAACATTTTCTCTAATCTTTTTATGGCTGATGTGCATACCATCATTACCCAGCTTCCTGGAGATGACGACTCACATACTGAAGCACTGTAAAACTGGAGCATTGATGTATGCCTGTCCTTATAGACGGAAGTCAAGCGACATGCACAAAAAGGTGTGCCGCTGGCTGAGTGGAGGATCTCTCTAAACTAAAGAAAATGGATGTGAGGCTATGGAATGTCAGCATGACAAAATATTTCATGTCTGACAAGAAAGTTCTGAGGTTGGAACTTTGGTAGGGAACTGACATGAAAGCATCAGCTTGCTCTTAAGAATTATCTGTGGATGTGGCAGCATTTTTTCCAAACTTGTTAAGAACTATTTACTCACCATCATTTTCCAGCTTCCTGCTGGCTAGAGTTCAATGAGTTAAACTCTACTCGGGCCAGGGTGGTTCGAGGCATGTAGAAATAGCACGTAGGTGTCTGGTTGGCACAAAATACTTCTGTAGCACCTTGGCAAAGAGAGAGGAAGCTCCAGTAACCGGATGTTAATTTTTATTGAACCACAGAATAATGAACAAAGGGTCCAGGTGTAGGAAGACTGTTTTTCTCTTGTTTGATTTTTTTGAGGGGGTAGGACTTAAAGGGGAAGAGAGGAAGGGACTAAGAGTCAGTTTGTTTTGTTAAGTTTTCCTGTAATCTGATGCACAGAGACTCAGAGGAACAGAAAATCAGATGGATTGAGGGGAGCTCTGATCTGCATGTCCTGTCCTTCATGCTGACACGTGCTATACTGAAAGCTTCGCTTTTCTGTACTAACTTACAGATCCTGCTGCTAAATTTCACCTAAATAAGGACTGGGCTTGGAAAGCCTATAATGCTGAAACTATGACTTACTGCCCTGTGTCTTTTTACTCCCCCAAATCAAGCTAAGATACATTTAACAAAAAAATTAGTGAAGAAAGCAAGAAGTTACAAGCTAACATCCAAGTCTTCAAAGCTTTAAATATATTTCCTAAAAGTCAGAGATGTACATTTCTATTTCATCTAGACATCAGCCTCCTGCAAGGGCTGTTCAGATAGACTGGCTAGACAGCAATTTCATGAATCACAGTGATAGTAAATTTATAGTAAAAACTTTAGTTCCTTTTCTGATTCAAGGTCTAAGGAGAAATTGTGGATGACTCAGAAAAAAGCATAATCTCACTATAAGGAGACAAATGCCTCCTTTCCTTTTTGCTAGAAAAGCACATGGTAACTTGCTTTTTAGTAGTCAATGGTCCAAACTTATCAAGAGAAATATGCAAATCACATCAGGATAGTTTCCATCTGGAATAGCATTGTTAAACTACTTACTCCACTCACAGGCATAGTGGACAACGTCAAAGGCAGTGCATAGGTCTAATTGGTAAATGGTTTACCGATTGTGAAGGAGGGAGCACATAAAGAAGAAAGATGTGGAAGAACAGAGCAAGGACAGAAGAAGGAAGGTTGGGTCAAGAAGAATTGGGTGATAAAAGGAGCTTCGATCAGATTTAGAAGGGAATAGGGAGACAGGGAAGAAGAGGGATTTAGGAATATCTTAATGAGATCTCAATACTGGGAGCAGTGGATTACTTTTGCATTAGACTACTTTAAAAACTGGCTAATGTGAGTGTCATTTAGAGGCTGAAGACAGCAAGGTCGCAGTAGGTATGGATGTGGAGAAGGATGGACTTGACAAATATTTTATGGGGAGAATGAAGAGGAAAGGGGAGATTTCTGAGACATTTTAGAGATAAAACCAGGAGGATTTACTGACAGTATCTATTGGCATACACGGATAAAGAGTTAAACAAGTGGAGATGAGCAGGTGAACACATAGGAAAGCAGACACTTTCAAATTTGTGCTGTCAAAATTTTCAGAGTACATTGAGAAAAAAATATTGAGGTGTCACAAAACTGAAGGATGCCTGTCTTTACAGGCAGGGAAAAGGGGCATGCACAAACATGCATATTCCTGGAAGACTAGAGAATAGTCTAAACCAAGTAAAAAGGGTGCAAGAATGAGGAATGTCAGTACTGCAGAATCCATCCCTGCTTGCCCCAAAATAAAGAAGCATTAAAACTAAATGGTTTGTGGAAACACTCCAAAAGAGAGCCTTTCCATTCTTCAACGTGAGAAGCAAAGCCTCAATCTGTACTTAAATGTGTTGTTCATTTTATAAATAGGCTCATTTATCTTTGCAAGACTGAGTTAGGAGGGCATGAATATACACAGGCTAACATGCTTGACTTCAAACCACACATTTTTGATTACTGATCTCTGTGATTACAGTATCTTAGTGTGCTGCAAGTGCAGAATTCTCAAGGTTGTTGGTAGGTTTTTTTTTGCTGCTGAACTGATAGGAAGACATCAGCCTGCTCTTAGAAATTACTGGATATTTTCCAAGCTTTGTATCATGAAGAAATGTATTTATTCACAGTGGCTTTAAAGGTAATTGGGATCCTGATTGTGCAGACAATGCTACAAAACTAACACCCGCAGCTGATGAGGGAGGGAAGTTAACACTTCCTAGAGCTCAGTCTTAGGTAGCTTTCAAAAGATAAATATAAAGCAACTGCTTTCGTTCCAGAAACTGCCTGTAGTACCAACAAAGGAGCAAAAACCGAACAGTGCTCATATTAGGCATGTTTCTTTTAAATTAACATAAGCATGACCTACTGTATTAAAGACATTTATTCCTTTGGTGTGATCAAAATTTGACTGCTAGCTGGATGTATGCCAAAGATTCTCACTACATTCGTAGTTTTATATTACACTGGGGAAAAACAAGTGTGGTCTATCAGGATATGTATTTCTTTCTCAAATTAGCAGGTAAGTATGCCGGTAGATACTTAGCAAGAGCCAAAAGATGTCATCTGATGGGAATCTTACAAATCTATCTGCCAGAGGTTGCAGACCCCACTTTCAGACCACTATGGATCATCCTGAGAGGGAATGGTGAGAGTGCGTATCAGACCGAGAGATTCTGAGTGCTCCAGGTAGGGTTGGTTCATAGATCTGCAGTCTCCTTGTCGTTGAGTACCACACATATTCAGCACCCTCAGACTCCAGTATCTAACCCCTCAACATTGTGCTCCAGCATAATCCACTTTGTATGTGCAGAACAGCCACATGCATGTGCATATACACAATTTATCTCTATCACATAAGCACATATATGTATCTGCTACTGAATTGGGCTGATACATATTTGATGTGAATAATAAAAAGATGATCATGACCTTTCCTTTCAGCCTTTGCTTTTTTTTTTGACAAATGACTGTTCACTTGAATCACCAGGTTTGCTGCCAAAAGGAAAATGGGATATAAAAGAGACTGAGGATGCAAAAATGCCTTGGATAAAGCTTTTTCTCAAATGCTTTCTGTTTTTTTAAAAAATATGAAATTCATTTATGGGTTTCATACCAAATACTATCACTTCAGGAATTTAGATGGTCTTTATACTACTTCATAAATATTTAATTTATCCTAGTCACTAGAGCAATTACAGCGTTGTTTTTTTCTAGTCAATAAAATCTGGATACAATTGAAAATGAACTTAAATGTCAGATCAAAATAATGAATTTACATGGTTGGTTAAAATTATTTTCAGATAAAAAATTCCAGGGAAAACATTTTCTGAACACAGACTAGTCTACCATAGAGCAGCCTACCTCAGAGGACTCTAGCTCAAAAGTATTGTTAGCATCTGTTTTATAACTGCCTCACCTCACCTTCCTGTCTGAGTGCTTCATGTATCCTTATCATTTTATGTGCAAACATCATATTCCATCTGAACATATGGGGCTGAGTATATCTCTTGGGATGATGCAACTCTAGGCAATTCTGAAGCAATAAACACACAAACATACATAAACATATGCATGTACACATCCTACTAAATCTGTGTAGCTGTATCCATCTGAAAGAAATTGCACATTTCAGTGCTCAGAGCCAGTTTCTTTCTGCTCTTTGCTTTA